AATGACTAATTTGATCAAATAAACTTAAAATTAAGCTCTATGGTTGTGTATTCAGTTGATTTGTCCTATTTTACCAAAATGAATCAAGTGGGCCATTTTGAGTCAAATTAACCCAAATATAAACCAAGTAACATTGAATATGACCAAGTAACCCTCGAGATTAAAATTGAATTATCCAAATAAAAATCAAAGCTAACAAGCGTTGATTGCACTAATTGGGTCAATTGACTTAATATGACTAATTTGAACCATGTTAAAATAAAATCACATAAAATCTTAATTAGTTGTAAGCAAACATCCCTAGAAACCTAAATGAATCAATTAAGCCTAATGTTAAACCCCAATTATATAAGTAAGCTCACTTAATTCAATATGAATAAATGGATCATATTGAGCCCGACGTAACCAAATTAAGATCAAATGCAACCAAACTTAGCCAGATCCCCTAGGTCCCTAGTGGTCTACCCAAGGTGACCCACCCCAACATCAACCTAGTTCAGGTTAAACCAATCGATATTGAGAGCCCAAGCGCACAGAAATCCCAATTGGCTAAGCTAAATTAAAACTAATGCAGTAGGATATAACTGGGTATGCCCTAAACTTAATTAAACTATTTTCCAAGACTCCAAGCTTGTTAGGTGGATGGAGAGTTCATTAATAAACCACAAGGATGGGAAAACATGGATCAATCACCATTCTCCAATGAATTAAAATTTCTGCAATAAAATGATCATGGCTACACGACAATTTTCTATTTCTCCATGCCTAACCAAACCTAGATGGATGTTTTTTTCACATGGTTATGGCTGACACTTATCTTGGACTTGATTTAGATGGAAGGTTGAGTTCAATAGAGCTAACCTCAATTTGAGACGCTCAAAACACTCCCTAGCTCTCTAGGAATTGTACCAATTCCTTCTCTAAACACAATTTCTTCTCTATGGCCAAGGATGATCCATCTCTCCTCATCCTGTCATGACCAACAACATGAAGATGATTCCTGAATTCTTACTTGTTGGCAAAGGATCAAAAGTCGCCTCAATAACTCAGGTAGACCTCTACAAACTCTCAGACTCAACGAATCTGCACTATGTCATAATATGCCTTTAATCTAATCTTCAAGCATTATGCCGCAGTCATCCATGAAGCAAATTATGGCTACAGGTAGATCGAACCACAGGATATCAATTTTCTTCTCTTTAGATCCTTTGTAAAGAAGGAAAACTCAAAATACTTCACTAGATTGTATGAATTGAACAGGGTTCAATGGTTGAGTATTTTCTTTCA